TATAAATTGGCTTGATCAATTGTTACAAATACAGTATCTAAAGCTTTTAAAATTCCTTTCAGTAAGTTCTTCAAAATGTAGGCACTTATGAGCTCTGTAAAATATCCTATTTATTTTATTATTTCCTTATTATATAAAGACTGTAAGAGTAGAAATCTTTGAAGATCACCAGTCATGATTTTAGATGGTCAGAGATGGCCAAATCTTTTGAAGATCAATTTATTTCAGACAATTGGGCAATCAAAATGTTGGCAATTTTAACAGTTTGGTCAATAAAGGCCTGCAACAGGCTCATTTCATCGACATGTTGATTTTAACACTTGATCATAATCTGACACTACTTTTCCATCTGCTCCATCACACCAGGGGGATTTTAAGTAACTGATCCTATTGGATGAGAAAGAGTTCTCTTGCTGTGAGTCAGACTTAGTGTTTCTAAGAGCATCCAAGTCTTTATCAATTAAACCACATGAGCCTATTTTGAAATTGCCTCAACTTTAAAATGTTTGGTCGCAGGGAACAATTGACAGATCCATTCATGGTATTCAGGAACCAGATTTATTTGTTGGTTGAATAAAATCAATTCTATACTTTGTTAAAAGTGCTGAACATTTCAAGTTAGCATATGTAACTGAATGTTAGAACTTGTGTTTTTTTAATAGAGTCTTTACTCTCCTCGGGTTGCTGCAAGGTCAATTAATTACATTTGCAGTGCCATTGTTGTAATTGTAATGAAATAATCATTTTCCTGGCTCTCACCACTCACAAAACTATGTCTTCTGATGGAAAGAAGTTTGTCAAATTCCAGATGATTAGGTTCTCCTGCAGAATTTTTGATAAAGGAGGAAAAATATAGTTGTGGTACACTTTGGTGATTATTTACATATATATATACACTTATAAAATCAGCTTGAAATTTGCATTTATAAAATAGTGTAAATGTCAACTGTACATATAGATTTAAAAGAAGGTTCTTTGATGCAAGATCCTGGAACTCCCCACTTGACCGCACAGTGGGAGCACTTTCACCAAATGGATTGCACTACAGGATGAAGCCATTCATCAACTTCTCAAGGGTACTAAAGGATTGGCAATAAAATCTAGCCTTGTCAGTGACATTCAAGTCCCAAGTATTAACTATGAAAGTAACAGCTGGAAAACTTGTAATGAGAAATTGCTAAGGAAATGTGTGTAAAAGCAGAGCTTCTTTGCCTTTGCCCCTGCAACCTTTCCATCCAATTTAATCACTTTTAAGAAGTAGAAAATGCAACAGCTAGTTTTTGCACGTCAAGATTCCACCAAGTCATAATGACCAGGTAATCTTTTTAATAGTCTTAGTTGAAGGATAAATAGTGGTGAGAATTCCTCTTTTATTTGAAATAGAACCATTTACTTCCACCTGAGGGGGCAGATCAGGTCTTAGTTTAATGTTGTGTCTGAAAGGCAGCACCTCTGACAGTGTTGCCCTCCCTTATTACCATATGAGAGCGTCAGTCTGTATTATGTGCTCAAGTCCTTAGAATGGAATTTGAACCCACAGCCTCTGACTCAGAGGCAAGTGTGCTTCCCATTGAGCAACAGCTGGCACCATTCTATCTGTACTACTGAAGATATGCAAGATATATCAGATTATGGATGAATTTGTTATTGCACTGTTGGAAGGACGAGGGTCATGAAGGCAGTCCTATGCTTTGGTCAGGCAGGAAGATTGTTCTGCAATTTGGTAGCAGCGTGAAGAATTTGGCAATAGCGGTGGTTTAGCAGCACTTAAGGGAATGTGGCATTTTGGAGAAGGATGGCAAGCTGGAAATTTTCCTGTGATAGCAGAAGGTTTAAAATAAGTGCTGCAGTACAGAAAATATATGGGTTGCATTATTGTCCTAATTTAGAAACTTGAACTGGGCAAAAATGTTTGAAAAATCCCTCAAGTAGATATGCAATGAAGATGCAAAATTGAAACATTCTTCTATCCTTGTATGATTATTGATGTGTGACAGAAAAATCTAAAAGGATGTGATAAAGTTAGAATCGATGACAAATGCGGTGTAAAATTAGGTTTCCAGTGACTTTTCCATGATTTAGATTTTATTCATTGTGTCCCTTTAAAGAGGCGACACTTTTGTTAGATACTTTGCTTAATGATATTCTTTTTAAAAATTCAATTGTAAGAGGCATGCTTCATCTAGCTTCCATTAGCAATATCCCTTTTTTGAAAATGCTCATGACAATGGCATCTTGGAACTGTCCTGGGATGCTTTCCTTCTTCCAGCTAAGGCAGACAAGGGCATGTAACTGCAGCAGAAGCTCTTTGCCTCTGCACTTCAATGTCTCAACAGGGATACTGTCTGCTCCTGCAGCCTTCTTGTTCTTGAGCTGATGGATGGCCTTCTCTATTTCATGTGGGGCTAGGGTGTTGCTGAGCTCATGGCATGTAGCGTGCTGTGGTATGCAGTCCAGGATGCTCAAATCAGTAACACAGCCCTTGTTGAGGAGGTCTCAGAAGTGCTGCCTCAGCGTTGTTCGATGGCTTCTTTATCTTTGATAAAAGTCACTTCAAACCTGGCCAGCAGTGGGGTGGGCCCTTGGGTCTGGTCTTGACAGCATAGAAGAAACCCTGCACATCATGGTTGTCAGCCATTCATTGGTGCTCCAGTACTTTCCAAGTCTGCTTGTGGTAACTACAGGGGAATCTCCCTGCTGTTGACTGTCAGAAAAGTCATCGTCAAGATCCTCCTCAACTGTTTCCTCCCTGTGGCTGAGGTGCTCTTCCCAGAATCGCAGTGTAGCTTTTGGCCATGGAGGGGCACAGTGGACATGATTTTCACCATGCAATAGCTGCAGCAGAAATGCAGAGAAAAGAACCTACCCCTGTACATGGTCTTCTGCAACCTTACAAAGGCATTTTGACACTGTCGATCAGGAAGCATTATGGAGCGTCCCTCTCTGCTTTGGTTGCACTGTGAAGTTTGTCACCATCCTTCACCTGCTCCACAACAACATGGAAGTTGCGGTAACGACAAATGGCTCCACCAATGACCCATTCCCCGTTCAGACCAGTGTCAAGCAGGGCTGCATCACCCCAACACTGTTCACGATCTTTCTCACAGCAATGCTTCACCTCACCACCGACAAGCTCCCTGCTGGAGTGGAACTAACTTACCGAGCCAGTGGGAAATTATTCAACCACCGCTTCCTTCAAGCCAAGATCAAAGTCACACCAACCAGTGTCATTGAGCTGCACTACGCAGATGTTGCTTACGTATGTGCAGACTCAGAGGACGTACTCCAGACCATCATCAGCACCTCTATGGATGCCAATGAGAGCATGGATCTCACCCTGAACATTCACAAGATGAAGGTCCTCCACCAACCTGGCCTGGCATTGTAGAGCAATCCCCTGATCATCAATGTCCATGGGGAGGCCTTAGAGAACGTTGACCACTTCCAATACCTCGGAAGTGTCCTATCGGCCAAAGCAACAATTGATGTACTGATCCAGCATTGCTTCTAGTGTACTAATGAAGCCTTCAGCCACCTGAGGAAAAGGGTGTTCGAGAACAACAACATCAGATCAGACACCAGGCTCATGGTTTACAGAACTGTGGTGGTTCCTGCTCTCCTATATGGCTCTGAGACACGGACTGTCTACAGCAGACACCTCAAGGCGCTGGAGCAGTACCACTAATGCTGCCTGTACAAGATTTTGTGAATCTGCTGGGAAGGAAGATGCACAAGCACCAGCATCCTTGACCAGGTCAGAATCCCCAGCATCGATCAGAATCCCCAGCATCGGCCACCCTTGATTGGCTACGATGAGCTGGGCACGTCATCTGCATGACCGACACAAGACTCCCCAAGCAGGTGCTCTACTCTCGGTTTCAGAACAGCAGGCGAGCCCCAGGTGGACAGAGGAAACGCTTCAGCGATACCCTCAAGGCCTCACTGGTGAAGTGCGGTATTCCCACAGACACCTAGGAATCACTGGCCCAAGACCGTCCAAAGTGGAGGAGGAGCATCCGGGAAAGTGTCGAGCACCTTGAGACTTGCCATCAGAAAAAAGCAGAAGCCAGGTGAAAACAGCAAAAGGAGTGTGCTGCCACACCAATGCCCCACCCACCCCTTCCCTTCTACCCCAAGTGTAACAGAACCTGCGGAAGCCACATTGGTCTGTACAGTCACCTACAGACTCACCCTGAGAGTGGAAGAGAGTCATCCTCACTTGTGAGGGACCACCGATGTTGATGATTATCAATATACCAAAAAATCTATAATTTGGAAATTTCATGTAGATATGTCTAAAACCAGAAAATGCTTGAAATACTCAACAGGTTAGGCAGCATTGAAAGAGGGAAAGAGTTAATGTTTCAGGTCTGTAACTTTCATCAGAACTTGTTTATCTAAGTATATATTGTATTATATTTCCTCTTCACTCAATGAAAATTCAAGGCTAAACATGAAAGATCACAAATTACTATCTTGTTTTTGCTTTAAAATAAATTCCATGTTATCCACATTTTGGTTAATGGTGTAAGTCACTGCATTGTCGCTTTCCAATACTATACACACATATCTGAATACAATTAATTTTGCGTTTTATTTGACAACTGGCCTGTAAAACTTGGTAAAGGATTTAATGTGTTCACTTGAATGATTCAGTTAATAGGAATGGACGGTTGCTGCGAATTCTTTTTGCAAAAAAAATTGATTTGTCACTGTCTTTCTAAATCAGACTAGATTCAGTGTGATTTCCTCCAAGCTTCCAATCGCTGGCGTTGGTGTCTATATCGATCAGTATATCAGCGATCTGCTTGTTGCCCTTGTTCCCGGTATGGATTGATGCGGTGGAGTTTGGCTACCCGCTCTGGTAGTGTTATGAATCTTTTTTTGTCGTTCTGCTCGCTTCCCTGTTGCTCGGAAGTTATGGCGGAAGTTGTTCGCTGACTGGAATTCAATCGCTCGAAGCCGAGCGGGGTTAATGCTGCTGTAACTATAAACGCTAATTTTTGAGGTAAAAACTGGCTTTTATTCAGTTCTGAAGCGAATGTTTAAACACGAAATCAAACGGTACATAAAATGTCGGTCCGCGTCGCGCTGTCAAGCGAACGAACCCGCGGCCTAACATTTATTCACTATTATTTTCTGGGGAGGGGGGGTGGAGTGTTCGTTTTGCAAATCTACCTGCTTCGGGAACAAATTCAGCAAACTTTGTTTGCTTTGTTTTTCCATGTTTTTGCTGCAAAAAAAATAAAACGAGAAATGCAATGTTAAAGCTCCCCGCTTTTCGAGACGTTTGTCTCCTTTTCTCAGTCAACCGCACCTGCTACCGGAAGTTTCGCCTCTCCTTCGTGATCATTGGTGCCTCTGGGGAATTTGCGCTCACTGATTGGACGGCCACGCTATCGATCATCCAAGGGGCGGGACGGTTGGCGCAGTTAAGTGTGAGTTTGCAATAGGTTCTTAATCAAGGGAATGTGAATCTAATTTGGTAGAAAGTGAGGATTTGGCTCAAGTGGGATTAAAGGTGTTGTATTGCAGCTAGGGAATCCCCTGAGAAGACTGCTGATGTCCTATAGCTGTTGAGTGTTGCAGGTGTGCTGTTAGTCATGAAGATTCTCTCTCTCTCTCCTCTTCTCCCCCCCCCCCCCCCCCAACCTCCCGAGAAGTTAAAGTCAGCTACAGTGTGATCTCTGTTTATTCCACTGTCTTTGTTCAAAGTGCATCTAAAATCCATCTGGTGAAGCTATTTGTGGTGTTTGATGCTTCACGCATGTATTTTGTTTTCCCCCGTATTCAAGATGTCTGGAATCAGGCCTTTGTGTGACACCACATTCTTCGCCTATTGGAATTCAATTTTTAAAATCCATTGTAGAACGGAGTCCGAATTGGACTGGGGAATGTAATACGTAAATGCAACATGAGCGATTATACACCCACATCTTAAATAGTGATAGCATTATCTGCAAAATATGAACAAAAGTATGCGATTGTAGGTATGGGTCACACCAGTTTAAAAGATAAATCCCCCAAATATCCAGGATAATTCTGAATACATTGTGTGAAGATGTGCCTTGCATATTGCAACTGCATTATATATCCAGCATTTGTATGCAGTTACAGTAGTGAGAAACAATGACATTGCAGTCCTATAATTTTTAAGTAGAAGTAATGAGATTATGAATTCAGTCCTAACTGTATTTTCCAGAAATATGGCTATGCTTGCCTAATGACTATTATTTTGATAATTGAATATTACTTAAGTACTGTTATTGTAGCTTGCAATAATAGAAATAGTGAGAATGAACTTTAAGCATATTCTGTCAGTTGTGACTGCGATTATCAGGTAGTGACTGAGGCAGGCCCCTTCATTGCAAATTATTGTCTCTTAAACCCTCAGTTTTATGTGATTAAACAGTTGAGTTGTGAGTATAAGAGTTCATCAAGTATTAGGTTTTAAAAAAAAATGGTCCACCTATTTACATCATGAACTCTTGCCTAGGTAATAAGACTTCCAGACTCTGCCAGGGCCACGATATAATTCAGTATTGACTGTAGAAACAAATACAAGCTGATTTGTCTTCTGACTGTTAAATGACTTTCCCTTGTCAAAGCCCCAGTGCGCTTGCCTCCTACTAGAGACAAAAAAAACTGCAGATGCTGGAAGAACACCCACAAACCAAGCAGCATCTGGAGGAAAGGAGCAGTCAACGTTTCGGGTATAGTCCTTCTTCAGTCCTGGCTTGTTGTGTTCTTCCAGCCTCCTCATGCCTGGGAGATCAGAAATGTATCGGTTACGAATATTTGAACAAAGTAAGGTTGCTGGTATACTTGAAAAGGTCCTCTTTAGGTTCAAAATAAATGCCTATTATATATTCCCTAACTATAGGGAAGGTGTTAACGTGGTGCTAGATGTAATATTCTTTACAGCTGCTTTCAGGAATTTTGGGGGAAAAAAAGTGCAATGCTTCAGTAAGCTACTGTGTAGAAACAATGACCTGAGACTCAACAATTTGACATGACCTGATACAATGCTTCAGCGAGCATTTGGGTTATGCCCCTAAACTTTCTCTTGTATTGGTATGTTGTAAGATCTGTCTTTAAGTATTGGCAAATTTCACTGTCATTTTTGGAAACCTGGATGTGTAATGTTTCATCTTGTTCCTGAAGTATTTTGCTTCTTTACTAAGTAAATTGATTACTTTCTGATATGCATCACATGCACCGTATACAGATGTAATATCAAATGGCTGAAAGTATGGGATACAGCAAATATTATCAGCCTTGGCAACATCCTGACTATAGTACTGAAGACTTGATTCAGAACTGGTTGCATCACTAGCCAAGCAGTTCCAGCACAACTACAGGACGTGTATCTACCTGACAACAATATGGAAAATTGCACAGGTATGCCTGTCTGCAAAAAGCAGAACAAATGCAGTTTGGCCAATTTACACACCATTGAACTCATCATGATCATGAGAAAAGTTCTGGAAGGTCTTGTCATCAGTGCTATCTAATGATACTTGTTCACCAATGACTACATGTGGCATCAAGGATCCTTGGCAACATTTAAATCAATGGGAATTGGTGGGAGGTAGTTGAATACTCTATTAGTTGGAAGATAGTAGTTGAAGGCTGATCATCTATGTTCCAGGATACTGTTACAAAAGTTCTTTCAGGGTTGTGTCCTAGGCTCAACCATCCTCCTCTGCTTCACCGGTGGACCTTCCCTCCATCATGAGCTAAGATGTGGGGATTTTGCTGATGCTTGCACAATGTTCAGTGTTATCCCTAGCTTGTCAAATACCAAAGCTGTCTATAGCTGCAGTCATCAAGACTTGGATGACATTTGGGCTTGGGCTGAGAAATGGTAATCAACATTCGCATACCATACAAATGCGAGGGAATGACTTTTTCAACAAAAGAGAATGTAAACTCCTCTTGTTTTAAGTTAAATAGTATTACCATCGTTGAGATCCTGGTTGGGTGGGGGTGGGGAGAAGCAGTGACCATTGACCAGAAACATAACTGGGCTGGCTTGAGAATAGTGCAAGAGCAGCTTAGGAAAAAAATCCAGCACAAACTGGCCACCTTGATCTGTCACCCATTTGATGCCTTTAAATGTTCACTTCCTCCACCAATTCACAGTATCCAGCATCTACACAATGCACTGCAACAACTCCGAGATTTCTTTGTATGCATTTTGTAAACCTGAAAATAGTAACGTAGAAAAATAAAGGCAGCAGGTACATGGGAGCACACTTGCAAAGCCCTCCCCAACCTGGGGAGATGGCGAACTAATCGTAATATCACTGGATTCGTAATCTTAAGGCCCAGACTAACGTTCTGGGGACATGGTTTCAAATCCTACTATAGCAACTAGCTGAATTTAAATTGAAAATGGTCTCTGTCTCTGACCATCTGTTGTTATAAAAAATCCAACTAGTTTACTGATGGTCTTGAGGGAAGGAGTTCTGCCATCTTTACCTGGTCTGGTTGCATGTAACCCTTGGTCTTACTAACCACTGAAGAGTAATTCAGGATGGAAAATAAATTCTAACCCTTTTTTTAAAAAAGTCTCTCACCTTCCTGACTTGAAACTAAATCGTCATTCCTTCACTGCTGCTGTGTCAAAATCCTGGAACTCCTTCCCTAACATCACTTTGAGATTACCTACACCAGATGGACTGCAAAGAAGGCACCTGAACACCAACTTCTCAAGGGCAATTACTGATGGTCTTGACTGATGCTCATATCTAAGCGTTTTTTTTTTTTTTGTTTGTTTGTTTTTTTGGGGGGGGGGGGGGAAAAAAAAATAGTTTTTTCATATATTAGGGTTGAGAGTAATTGTTCAAGTTTGGCAGTGATGAAGGGAAGGATTATCCCAGGTGTGGTTAAGGTTGGTTTCTGCTTAGTTTACTTATAGGGCTGAGCAGTTTTACACTTGCACCCAAACCAGTACCACAGCTAGTTGACTGCATTGAGTGTAGGAGCAATAATCTGACTATATGTCACATTGATATCCCTATTGCCAAGGGGAGCGCACACCATTTCATTGACTTTTTAGTCCAGATTTACTGCAGGATTATGTGAATGTTACATAAACTGTTTAATTAGCATATGTACCTGTATTGGATTGGTACTGTGAGGTGTACATGTTGCATTGAACTCTAACTTGCTGCCAACAAATTATTTTCTAATGGTTTCTGTTGCTGTGGTTAATTTGATGTATGTTATTAATCTGTAAATTGAAGCCACATGTATTCATCATGTGAAGTAGGATTAGGTTGGGTGTGTTGGGGAGGCTAATTTCACCTGGGTGCACACCTGTTTTAAAGGTGTATATATTTTAACATTTATTTATCCCATCAACCATCTCTGACCACATCTTGATAAGTTTTGTAATGCTGTAGCTCCAGTCTCCTGTTGCTACACTGCAGCATTTCCTTTGGTGGTGAGGCATAATTACTGTGGTAAGTTTACATGGGCAATTGTCACAGTAAATATGTCTTTAGGAATTTAGACTGGAAAAAATTCTGTCCAGATACACTTTTGAATATACTGTATTTGTTTCTGCAACTAGAAAAGAAAACTTTTTAATCATTATTAAAACTTACTGCTTAAACTTAAAACTTAATATAGGCAGTGTTTTTGAGCTATTAATTGCCTCATCTTAACTTGATCTGCAGAATGTTAAATACTTTCTTTTAAAAGTCATTGACTTGAAATGTTGTTCTTGAGTACTTTCAACAAAACTTTATTTTCAGACTTTACAACGTCTGAAATATTTGCTTTTTGTTCTGTTTGATTCACTGACACTTCTATAAATGCTTGGTTGGAGTCATAGCTGGTGCAGAGGAGGATGGTTGTAGTTGTTGGTCAGTTATCTCAACTCCAGGACAACCCTACAGGAGTTAGGGTAACGTCCTAGGCCAACTGTCCTCGGCTGTGTCATCAATGACCTTCCCTCAATCACAAAGTCAGAAGTGGGGATGCGCAATCCTCTGAGCAATGTTCAGCACTGTTTGTGACTCCTCTGATACTGAAGCGTTACTGGATGTCATCGAGGTTTCGGCTGACAAAGTGGCAAGTAACATCCACACTACAAATGCTATGCCAAGACCAGCACCAATACGAGACAATCTAATCACCATCTCTTGACAGTCAGTAGTGTTACCATCACTGAATTCCCCACTATCCACATCCTTGGGGTTATCATTGACTGGAAACTCAACTGGACTTGCCAGAAACACAGTAGCTACAAGAGCAGGTCTGAGGCTAGGAATGCAGCAGCGAGTAATTCACCTCCTGACTCCCTAAAACCTGTCCACCTGCAAAGCACAAGTCAGGACTGATGGAAAACTCCACTTGCTTGGATGAGTGCA